CAAATAATGCAAGTACTTATTATGTGCTAATGTTAGGGATACAGTATTGAATGAAAGAGACAACAATCCTGTCCACATGGAGCTTACTTTTGAGGGATGTTAACAGTAGTTTCTGGCTGGGCCCAGTGGCTCACATCTATAATCACAGCACTTTGAGAGGCTGAGGCAGGAGGATTGCTTGAGAACCAGGAGTTTGAGACCACCCTGGGCAACATACCAACAGTGTGTCTCTACAAAAAAAAAAAAATTAGCTGGGCGTAGTAATGTGTGCCTGTAATCCCAGCTACTGAGGAGGCTGAGGCAGGAGGATAACTTGAGCCCAGGAGTTTGAGGTTACAGTGAGCAATGAGTGTGCCAATAAAATGTCATAAAAATTAGATGGATTAATAATATACGTGTAAATAGAGGGATACATTCATTTATTAGGTTGATAGGCCAAGGTGGTACAATGAAAGTTTTAGGTTGGAAAGGTGTCAAAACAATTTTTACCATTTTCCTTTTAGTGGCAAAAATTTGATTCCTGAAATGTACTATTTTTTTGCTAATAGCGGCAGCTCAATTTTTCATTACATATGTAACTTTTTTTTTTTAAATTGTTGCTTTGCATGGGAAGAAAATTATAGTTGAATTTTAACATTTTATTTTAAAGTGAGTCTCATTCATAAATCTTTTTGCATGACATGGTAGGAGTCAGCTTTTTCCTTTTTCTTTTAATGAATGTGATTTCTTCAACGTCTGTTTCTTTAGGTGGGAAGAGTGCAGTACTCACAGCTCTCATAGTTGGTCTTGGTGGAAGAGCAGTTGCTACTAATAGAGGATCCTCTTTAAAAGGTTTTGTGAAGGATGGACAGAAGTAAGTGTTTGCTTTCTACCATCTATTTTCAATTCTTTAGTAAGAAAATAGTTACTTTAGATTCCCAGTTCACATAGACATGACTGGAAATGAAGTGCCTTCCCAGAATAGGAGCAGAGGTGTCCTATTTTTTCATTCCTTTCTTTTACCCCTTGTTGCCGGCATGGCGCACTGTTGCCTGTTATCCTCTCAAGACAGATAGCTTTTGTAACTTACTGCCATGTGCCTGGCCATCTTGCTTCTGTTACTTGCTGAAAGAAATGGCTGTGATAAATCTATGTATCCTGTTTAACAAGTGTTTATAAACCTTGCTAATTCCTGACTCTTGACCCAAACCCAGCATCGGTGAGTCCACATTGATACGATAGTAGGGAGAGCAAAATCAGTGACCAGCCAAAGTGTCCCTGCACAAAACTGTCTTTAGCTCTCTAAGAAGTCCCAAAATAAGAATTCTACTTTTTGACTCTGATTTTATACCCTTTACCCAAGTGGGCTGCCAGTGAGTTTAATTTGAGGACCACAGTGACAGATCTGTTTGTGGTCTATCCCAGACCCTTAGTGAATAGTTATATCACTACTGTTTTTGGCTTTACGTTTATATTTCTTTTTGTCATAAGTTGCCATCACATAGCTATATATGAATTGTCCAGTTTGCATCATCATGGACTCACTGCTTTTTGCCCACTAGCTGTTCTGCCTTCAGGCTTATCTCTTCATTCTTTTCCGTACTGCCCCAGATAACCTCTGAAGGGATCTTTGTTTTTCATAACAACAAAGTGCCCCAAATGCTGTCATACATCTTCTAGCATGAGGCTACTCCCATTCCTCCTTCTCATGCCCAGTGCTGAGAACTTTTGAAACTTTCATAATTAATACTAATATCTTTTTTCTCATTCAGTAGACTTTTCCTCCTGCTCAGTGTTATATCCATTTCTCTTCTATTTTATTACTAAAAAATAGAACAAGGATAGGATGTGAATTAGACCTGCAGATTTCTTATATATTCCTCAGAAGCCTTAGGAATCTTAACCTTAAGCCAAGATTCCAAATTGACTAAAAAAAAAAGAGAAAAGATACACAGAAGATTATTTCCCATGCTCTATGGCCCTGGGAAAAAACTATTTGATAACAATTCTCCAGCATAGTTTCTGTCTCCACTTCATGGGGCCCCAGTCCAGCAAAGTCTTCCTTTTACCACAAACCAAAATGACGTTTGTAACAAAAAATTAGTTATTTTGACACCTTTAAGTTAGTAGTATCAACTCTTAGTTCAGTTCATTATATTAAAAAAAATTTTTTGTAATTATTATTATTTACTTGTCGTTAGAATCCATGAGAAATTCTTTTTTTTTGAGAGAGAGTCTCACTCTGTCTCCCAGGCTGCAGTGCAGTAGCGCAGTCTTGGCTCACTACAACCTCCACCTCCTGGGTTCAAGTGATTCTGATGCCTCGCCCTCCCAAGTAGCTGAGACTACAGCCATGCCATCATGCCTGGCTAATTTTTTTTTTTTTTTTTTTTTTAGTAGAGAAGGGTTTTTTTTTTTTTTTTAGTAGAGAAGGGGTCTTGTGATGTTGGCCAGGCTGGTCTCAAACCCCTGGGCTCAAGTGATCTACCTGCTTCAGCCTCCCAAAGTGTTGGAATTACAGGTGTGAGCCACCACACCCAGCCACAGTTCATAATACTTAACTATCCATTTCTTAGCTGTCCAAACAATCACCCAGTCTACTTGGCCAAATAGCACATTGAATTTTCAGATACAGTCTTTAGGAATAAATTATTTTTTATGCACTGTTAAATGTTTTCTCAGTTAAATACTTTTCTTTTTTTCTATTTGAAAAGTGCTTAGACCAGGGTAGAAACTTCTCTCTGAGACCTGTCCTCTGAACACTATTTAATAAAAAAAGACTAGCTTAAACAAATCACCGACTTTTAAGGACATGGCTGCCTGTAGAGTGAAATAGTAATGTATATATTTTATTTTTGCTTTTCCAGTACAAAATTGGGGGAAATATATTTTAAAACACAGTTAGTGACAGCTAAAAACTCTAACCTTAGCTCAGTCTTCTGTCTAAAAAAGTAACTAAAAGCAGAGTTTTTCCATATCTGTATTGTTCTTATCTATCCCCTCCCTCATTGAAAACATTTAGTATTTATAAAATTTCCCTTGGTTTTATAGTCCCTGATTCTGTCATCAGTTTTTTGCAGAATCAGCTCGTTGAGGTTTTTGGTTCTGTTCTTACTCTATTGCACATCTAAAGTCTATGCAGGAGTCTCACTTTACCTGAAGAATGGTTGTCAGTGTAGTCCAGCACAAGTTTGAGGTAGTTCTTCTAAGGAGTCTGTCCCTCCCTTCCCCCATCTCTAACATTACACTCACCATTTGTGACACCTGTGCTCTGGGCCGCCTTTCTTGGGAAATTTCAACTCTCCTTGGAGATGCTTGCATAATACTGTTAGGAGAAGCCAGAGAACTGCACCTTGAGACATTGCCTGGGACTCATCCTTCTAATTACCCACCAAGCCTTTGCAGTGACACAGGGGCTGAATGAATCCTCCTAATGTATCTCTTCACATGAAAACCTTTCTCAGTGACCCAAGGCCTCATGCCCTTTGCTATTTAGATTCTCTTTAAACATATACAGTTTACCGTTTCCTCCCTTGGCCTTCATAATACCAACCCTGGTAGCCTTGGGGTCTTTGCAGTAGTCTAATTTTTGACATCAACTGTGGCACAAGGGTTATAGAGGGACAAAAACTCATTCTCCTGTTTTATGTTCCTGATTTATTTAGTCAAGGAGACAGAACTTGTTACAGATGAGCTGGTGACGCAGAGAAGGAGCAGTTGTATCATCTTTTTGTATGACTTTTCTTTTTCCTTGTTCTCATCCATGTGCACAGCTGCCAGTTACTTCCACGTAGATAGATTCTTCCTGAGTTGAGAAAGAAGCTAAATTCTTACTGTGGTACTGCTTGTTTGTGTTGTCATTCTGAAAAAAATCTCATAGATAGTCTCTCTTTTCAGTTAAGGCTCTCCTGTATTTACAGGCATTGGGCTCTATGGCTGTTTGACCCAAATTAAGCATCAGCACAGACCATATCAGTGTAAAGGGGAAGACTGCAGAGCTAGTGCCCAGCTTCGTTGTCTCTGTCTTCCAGCAGAAGTGGGTTTTTTTGTTTGTTTAGCAGTAATTATGAGGCTTTTTTATAAGTGTTACTTTTTAGAAGAATTTTGCTCTCTTGTATTTATTAGATTCGTATAGCAGGCCAGGCGCGGTGGCTCATGCTTGTAATCCTGGCACTTTCGAGGCCAAGGTGGGCAGATCACTTGAGGTCAGGAGTTCAAGACCAGCCTGGCCAACATGGCAAAACCCTGTCTCTACTAAAAATAGAAAAATTAGCTGGACATGGTGGTGGGTGCCTGTAATCTCAGCTATTTGGGAGGCTGAGGCAGGAGAATCACTTGAACCTGGGAGGCGGAGATTGCAGTGAGCTGAGATCATGCCACTGCACTCCAGCCTGGGCGACAGAGCAAGACTCTGTCTCAAAAAAAAGAAAAAGAAAAGAAAACTTATATAGCAGTAGGATATCAGTGCGTCTGAAGTTCTCACTATACTAAAGATAGCTCAAATACAAGGAGTAGCTAGGAATGAAGATAAATAAAGGAAGAAGATAATAAATTTGGTAATCAAGAGAGGTGTTTGATAATTCAGAGAGCACATATATGTAGTCATTTAAGAAATGTTTTCATGAGGTACAGTAACTTAATGCAGGTAATCATACCAGCTAATGAAATAAAATATTTGTTAGCTACATTATCAGAGGCCAGCCAGCCTTCCCCTCATACTTTAGTGGTTCTCAACCTTAACTGTTCATTAGAATCAACTTAGGGAGCTTTTAAATAATCCCATTAATTGTAATTTTTCTGAAGCATATCTGTCTTAATTGGGTAATTTTGTTTTTATAGAAAAACCACACCAACTTATTCAAGGTAGCTCTAGGAAAAGATATTTACCATAAAGATGCAAGGATATATATCCATGAAACTGCAAAGAGGAAATACTGCAGGGTCTCTTGAGGGACCAGACTGAGACCCTGTAAGAACCAAGTAGTTGCATCTCTAGCTGTCTCTGTGTGTCTTGTCTCTGGGCCTCTGTCTCCCTCTCCCTCCCTTTGGTTTGTTCTGCATCTGTCCTCTCTGCACCTCCCTCACAATCCTAACTTAATTGGCTATGCTTCTGTGTGTGTGCACTATGCTCTGCTCTTTCCTGTCTCTCCTTACGAAAAGTGTACAGGTAAGTGAGTGTGTTTTTCTCTATCACTGTCTCAAGTGTGTGTACTTTCTTATTCTTTTGCTAATCTTTGTTACTGTGTGTCTTCGCATATGCAGGCATTTATAAGTCTTACTGTCCTAGTCTGTGTGTGTATGTGTGTAAGGAAGTGATCTTATGTTTTCTGTGCCTCTGGTTCACTGCCAGTATCTGTGAGTATGTATGTCTTTTTATTAGTCTGCCTAGGTGGTTTCCGAAGAGCTTATCTGTTCTATTCAGACTTTTCTATTTTCTTATCAGAGTATAATGCCCCAAATTGGTTTCTCTAGATCTAGAGGCTCCATAACTTTGTGGCTCCCAGAATTCACCATCTCTCGAGTTGATCATGTCTTAATTTGAATTTTTTAAAACCTTTTTGTTTTGAAATAATTGTAGATTTACAGAAATGTTGCAAAGATGATACAATTTTCTGTATAGCCTTCACCCAGTTTTCCTTAATGTAGATATCTTACGTAACTAAGATGCATTTATCAAAGCTATACAGTTAACATTGGTACAATATCAACTAAACTACAGACTTTTGAAATTTTTTTAACCAGATTTTCTTAGTTTGATTTTTTAAAGAAGAAAATCTGATTGCTCAGTTGGTAAAAATGTCTATATTTAGCTCAATCCCAAAAGGATAGGGTGGAAAATTATATTGTTGCTAAGCCCTTTCTGCTAGGGTACTTGTACAGAAAAGGATGGGTGAGCAACAGAACAAACACTTCAGTGTGTCTGCTGTCTTAGCAGTAGTTCACAATGAAGCTCATCTGGAATATCTCTTCCTGCATTTCCCACAAATGGGAACAGTTTTCGAGTATGATTACAAATTCACAAAAACAAGTTTGTTCTGTTAAAGGTTTCATTTAATTACCAATTAAAACACTTTTATATTAAAGGACTTTAGCATTTTGACAGATGCTTATATGTACCAGGTAAAATATCTGCTTTTATGTGTAAGGAAATTATGTATAAGGAAATAAATTATCTTTATTAATGTCCTTTATCAGCATCTTTGTTTTTCTACCAAGTCTTATTTTAACACAAGTTGGAGTACACAGATAAAGATTTTTTTTTTTTTACCCCTATAGATCTTAAAATATGCATGGCTGTAAGTCCCTAAAACATCTTTAAAACTTTAAAAACTATAATAGAGCCTATTGGTTAGGCAGATTTATACTCATTATTTTTAATGCCAGTAAAGAAATTTTGGGCTTTAGTTTCTTTTTTTTGAGATAGAGTCTCTCTGTCGCCCAGGCTGGAGTGCAATGGTACGATCTCAGCTCACTGCAACTTCTGCCTCCCAGGCTCAAGCGATTCTCCTACATCAGACTCCCGAGTAGCTGGGAATACAGGCATGCACTACCGTGCCTGGCTAATTTTTGTATTTTTTGTAGAGATAGGGTTTTGCCATGTTGGCTAGGCTGGTCTCAAACTCCTGACCTCAAGTGATCCACCCACCTTGGCCTCCCAGAGTGATGGGATTACAGGTATGAGCCACTGTGCCCAGCCTAGTTACATTTCTTGATATCAAATGGTTTTATGTTTTATTGCCAAGTACTTGAAAAATTAAAATTACCTTTCTTAATTCTAATCCTCTTTGAAAATGTTACTACTTTACCATAATTTTTACTTCATCATTCTTTAAAGGCCTACTGTCAAGCATGATGCTTTATATAACTTATAGTAGTCAGGCAGTATAATGTTGATTACGTGATTTTTACAGGAAAATGTATAACATCTACATGTCTTAAAACAACCGAAACTTAATGGTTTTTGTCAAATGTGCTATATGGATAGAATAGTCAGTCAATTATTTTTTATGAAGCATCACTTATTCTCAACTTTATTTTTTCGTTAGGCACAGTATCGTTAACGTTATGCTATAGTGAACAATCAGTGTCAGCTATTGATGTAAAGCTAATTTGCAAATGAATTGGCCAAATTATTCGGTGGTTTTGAAAATTTTGAAAATTGTGGCAACCTACTATTGTAATTACACTGTATCTTCATGTAATTTAGCTTAACCTCATTGTTTCAGCTCTGCAGATATCTCAATAACATTGAGGAACAGAGGAGATGATGCCTTTAAAGCCAGTGTGTATGGTAACTCTATACTTATACAGCAACACATCAGCATAGATGGAAGTCGATCTTATAAACTTAAAAGTGCAACAGGTTTGTTTTGATTCTCTTTTCATTTATTGTAAAATATTAGGAAATACCCAATTAGAAAGAATTAGATGACTGTTGGTATTGATTGAACTGTCTTCCTTGTAACATGATTGGTTGTAAGTGTGTGTGTATTACACATGATTGTTTTACCCCAGGATATTATGGCACCAAAAGCATGATTAGCAGAACTGGGGATTATTTGAAACAGGTTGTGCCATTTTGTTTTCACCTACAGACTTCCTGTCACACCAGGGTTTTTATAAATGATTAGCAAAAGTGCAAAATGACATAAAAGAAGAGGTGAGCATTTAGTTTTTGAAGAGTGATGGATGAGGAGCAAAATATGTTTAGTTATGGGAACAAGATAAGCACCATTATTGCATGTGGGTACTTTTTCTTCCTCTGTACTTGTGCCGTGTTCATTCATGTTTATGCATATTCAATGGTACCTTTCTTGATGATGCAATGAAAGCTAATTAATATTTATATTTTGTAAGTAACTATACATTTTTTCTGTGTTATGCCCTAGAAACAGTTTGGTTATTTCATATGTTTCTCATAACTAGGCTCTGTGGTTTCCACTAAGAAAGAAGAGCTGATTGCAATTCTTGATCATTTTAACATCCAGGTAATTGCTGAATTTGTGTTTCAGATTAATTCATACAGCTTGTCATTTTTTAGTGTGATTTCACTTGTGTAGAAAAAAATTTAAATGGCCTCATATGAGTAAGTTGACCACAGGAAGCATATGTGTAACTATTATCAGTGAAGTTGTTTAAAATTTACTAATTTGGCTGGGTGCAATGGCTCACACCTGGAATCCCACACTTTGGGAGACTGAGGTAGGTGGATCACCTGAGGTCAGGAGTTCAAGACCAGCCTGGCCAACATGCTGAAACCCCTTCCCTAATAAAAATACAGAAAAAAAAAAATTAGCTGGGCGTGGTGGCGGGCACCTGTAATCCCAGCTACTAGGGAGGCTGAGGCGGGAGAATCATTTGAACCCAGGAGGTGGAGATTGCAATGAGCCAAGATTGTGCCACTGCACTCCAGCCTGGGCAACAAGAGTGAAACTCCATCTCAAAAAAAAAAAAAAAAATTATTAATTCAACACAGGATTGTCAATACATAATATAACACCTCTAATTTGATAGAGCAGTCAAGAACATTTAGTCTATACTACTCTAGGCTAAAATTTATCTTAATAAGGATGTCAGGTTTCTTTGCTTTTTGCTGTCCTAGTCAAAATAGCATCATTGTTCCCTAAACTCAGTTGCCAAACTCTTCTCTTTTTTTCCTGGATGAGTGTTTAGCTTCTAAAGTTACTAAATTCTTAAAGAAAATTTATTCTAGAAAGATAAAGCATTTCTCTATTTCGGAGCTACTGATCACACTTGTAGGGGACAAGGCTTGAGTCCTTTCTGCTAAGATACTTTGGCTAAATTAATTGATAATAGGGTACATGTGGTTCTGTAAACATTTACACTAGAATTACCTTTAGAAGACACCTAATCCAGGCTGTTTGTTTTGTAGATGAGAAACTGGGAGCTACCAAAAATAAATTTATATTTAAGGCTGTCTAGACGTGGTTACTGGTAGAACCTGGATTTGGGATCCAGGCATCCCTGTTTCATTCTACTGCTCTATCCATTGTGCAATACTGCCTCGTTACAGAATTAAGAACTCCAAGATTCGCGATCAAAGAAAAAGAACAATTAGGAGTCTGGGTCTCTTTTCCACTTTGGTTTAGAACAAAGGGTACAGAACTTCCTGTGGTGGTGGAAATGTCCTGTATTTATGCTGTTCAGTGGGGTAACCATTAGCCACATGTGGTTCTTGACTACTTGAAATTGTGACTAAGAAATTGAAGTTTTAATTGTATTTTTTTAAGTAGAATAAGCCACACATGGCAAATGGGCCTGCTGCATATCAGACAGTACAAGTTTAGGAAAAATAATTCTTAAAATCTAGAGAAAAGCAGGTACAGCAAATGAATTTCAGACTAGAATGCAGGACAATGTATTAGAATCAGGAAAACCAAGAGTTAGAGTTTATGGAATCATAGGTGTTGGGAAAATCTGAAGGGCATTCAGTATACTGTATAAATACTGTGTATTTACCCTGTGTAGAATCTCCACCAGGTTTTCCTGCGCAGGTTCTTGAAAGGATAATGGGGAAATCACCTCTGTCCAAGGCTGCTTCCTTCTGTGGACAGCTGTATTTATTAGAAAGTTTTCATTATGAGGAAAATTGAAAAAAAGCATATTTCTCTAAGCTCTCACTTCCTTGGGGAATGTAAAACATGTTATTCTCTGTTGAAATACTTAAAGATTCCTGGTCCTTTTTCTTCCGTGGTTTACTTAATGAGTAACAAAAGATTCAGTTTCATTGATTAAAATGCAGAAGATCTAGAGCCATGCCACAGGTAGATGTGGAGCACTTGAAGAGTGGGTAGCTCAAATTGAGATATGCAGTAATGTGAAATACACACCAGATTTTGAAAACTTAATATAAAGGAATAACTTAGTTTTTTATATTGATTACATGTTACAATGATAATATTTTGGTTATATTGGATTAAAAATATGTTATTAAATTTCACCTATTTCTCTATATTTTTAATGTGGCTACTAGAACATTTAAAATTGTATGTGTGGGCTGGGTGCAGTGGCTCACGTCTGTTATTCCCACACTTTGGGAGGCTGAGACCGATGGATCACCTGAGGTCGGGAGTTCGAGACCAGGCTGGTCAACATGGTGAAACACTATCTCTACCAAAAAACACAAAAATTAGGCAGGCATGGTGGCACATGCCTTTAGTCCCAGCTACTCGAGAGGCTGACATGGGAGAATTGTTTGAACCCAGGAGGCGGAGGTTGCAGTGAGCCGAGGTCACGCCACTGCACTCCAGCCTGGGTGACAGAGTGAGACCCTGTCTCAAAAAAAAAAAAAAAAAAATTGTGGGTGACTTGCATTATATTTTTCTTAGACAGTGTTGGTCTAGAATAACCAGGAGGGAAGAGGGTATTTAATGTCTTTAAGTACCTGATCATATTTGTCTTCTGTGCCTCCGTTTCTTATCCTCTTTCTGAAGTTTACCTGTTTTTGCTTTTTGCTTTTTTCAGGGTTCTGACAGATAGAGCTACAACATGCTTTTTTTTGGTTTGATTTTAGAGACTGGGTTTTGCCATGTTGCCCAGGCTAGTCTTGAACTCCTGGCCTCAAGCGATCCTCACACCTTGGCTCTGGCCTCCCAAAGTGCTGGCATGAGCCTTGGGACAGGGTCTCACTCTGTCGCCCAGGCTAGAATGCAGTAGCATGATCATGACTCCCTGCAACCTCCACCTCTCAGGCTCAAGTGATCCTCCACCTCAGCCTCCTGAGAGCTGGTACTACAGGCGGGTACCACTACACCCGGCTAATTTTTGTACTTTTTGTAGAGACGGGGTTTCACCATGTTGCCTAGGCTGGTCTTGAACTCCTGGGCTCAAGCAATCCACCTGCCTCAGCCTCCCAAAGTGCTGAGATTATAGGTATGAACCACTGTGCCTGGCCAAGATTCTTAAATAATCCCAAGAGTAGTATAAGAAGTAGGAACTCCATTTCAAAAACAGTGAAAAAGGTGTAGAGAAATGAATATAAACTTTGGTGAAGCTTTTAATTGAAAGTTGACGTTAAGATGTTTGTTATTAGAGCTACTACTGCATTAGGTCTATTAAGCGGTCAGATGCAGTATGAAATGATGAGCTGGGGTGCTTTGTGAAAAAATATGTGGCAGATGGTGTCAGGTCTGTATAATAAGAAACATGTCACGTGTAAAGTTTTGTTTATAACTACATAAATGTTTTTTATTATCTTAGAAGAGAGGCCCAACATTTTACTTAAGAGAAATGTTTTAACCATTGGTATACCAACAAATTATACAATATTTATTTCATAGACAGTAAACATGAAGGGTTTAAAGTTTTTTTCATTTATACGATAACCTTAGGATTATTTTTAACATGTAAACTGATTTGTTAGTAATTGACTAACATTTAACATGTAAACTTATTTGTTAGTAATTGAGTAATGACCCTGAATCTTTTTGAAAAAAGTTGTATTTTTTCTATACTTTTCCAATTTATTTTGATATCTTAACTTGTTAGGTGTATTAGGGTTCTCTACAGGGACAGAATGAATAGGAGATATATATGGTTTTAAGTATTAACTCACATGATCACAGGGTCCCACAATAGGCTGTCTGCGAGCTGAGGAGCAAGGAAAGCCAATCCACATCCCAAAACTGAAGAACTTGGAGTCCAATGTTTGAGAGCAGGAAGCATCCAGTTTTAGGGAAAGATGTAGGTTGGGAGGCTAGGCCAGTCTAGTCTTTTCAAGTTTTTCCGCCTGCTTTGTATTCCAACCGCCCTGGCAGCTGATTAGATGGTGCCCACCCAGATTAAGGATGGGTCTGCCTTTCTTGGCCAGTGACTCAAATGTTAATCTCCTTTGGCAATACCCTTGGGGACACACCCAGAATCAATACTTTGCATCCTTCAATCCAATCAAGTTGACACTCAGTAATAACCGTCACGTTAGCCAAAGGTAGTTTCATTCAAGCAATGACTAGTTTCCAAAAGAGAGAAAGACTTCATTATTTTCATTTGTTTTACAATATCCTCATGAAGGAATAATATGAAGAACTTCTATAAGAAAAATAAACAACACTTGTTATCATGATTCTGATTAGAAATAACTGAATTGAACTGTGTTTAACTGGAGTAACTGACTTGTCCAAGGCTACATAGGAAGTTAGCAACAGAACTCAAACAAGAACCCAAGGTGGCTGACTCCTTACCATGGTAGGACTCTTCCCATTCTGCTAGCCCATGATTAACCATTGGCATGAGGGTGATATTCTATACAGCAGGTAAGAAGTGAAAAACTTTTTAATAAAAACACTTTTTCACAGGGTTCTTGTGCTTGTGCCCTCATGTACTGGTAGAATATTGAATTTTAACTATACCATGTATGTTGGTATAATGAAATTTTAAATTATTTTTCCTGCATTATAGATTTCTAATTTTTTTTTTTTTAGTATTTTTATCCTAATGTTATAACCTTTGGCTATTACTTGGCCTTCCTGATGGCACCATAGGTCACTTGTAATGTGTGTTTCAGTTTTTACCTATCTTTAAAGCATTAAAGTAAAATATTCAAAAATGACTTTTTGTTTGTTTGAGGTGGATAATCCAGTTTCTGTTTTAACACAAGAAATGAGCAAGCAGTTCTTACAGTCTAAAAATGAAGGAGACAAATACAAAGTAAGTGGCACCAAGGTAATATAAACCCATTTAAAAAGAGTACCTTTAGGCATATTGTAAACAGTATTCTTGCTCACATAATGGAGTCTGAGTTTTTTTTGTTTTCCTTAAAGCCATCTGTTTAAAGTAATTCAATTTCCTAGATTAGGAAATTGTTAAGTAAGATGGGGGTATAATTTTTTTAAATCTCTGTTTTTACTTTTTGGCTTTTAATTCTTAATCTTTAAGGAAATACAGGGTAACAGTTGCTCCTACATACATAATAACTTGTAAATCTTTTTTTTTTTTTTTCTTTTTAAGAAAATAGAGTTATTTTCTTAAAAATAACTAGATAGAGTGCAGTGGTGCAATCTCGGCTCCCTGCAACCTCCACCCCTCAGGTTTAAGTGATTTTCGTGCCTTAGCCTCCCAAGGAGCTGGGGTTACAGGCATGTGACACCATGTCTGGCTAATTTTTGTATTTTTAGTAGAGACGGGGTTTCACCTGTTTGGCCGGGCTGATCTCGAAATCCTGGCCTCAAGTGATCACCCGCTTTGGCCTCCCAAAGTGCTGGGATTGCAGGTATGAGCCAGTGTGCCTGTAAATCTTAAACTATTAAAAACTTTAAAAGCTAACAATATACTTGACTATACTGCTAAATATTCTGTGTAGTCTTTTGAGTGAGTTTTGGTATTTCTTATTCTAAAAATTTAAGATATTACTAAGACCAAGGATGCCAGTCTTTTCAGCTGTTTTTGCTTAAATAATGGCAATAGTGAAAATGAGCTTATTATCACACCCCACAGTGTTTTCTTTCATGGAGTTTTAGGAGCTTTTGCAAATGAACATGTGGATGTGAGCATGGTTCAGTAAATTTGAATCTGAAATGTATTCTTTTGTGTTTGTGTGATTGCTTATGTTTTTAATGTCTTTTTAGATCATTGATCTAAAAGTTTTCAGAGACCAAATTTTTCTTTTTCTTTTTAACAGTTCTGTGGAAGTTTACAAACTCCTAATTGCGTTTTTTTGTTGTTGGTAATAGTTCTTCATGAAAGCAACGCAACTTGAACAGATGAAGGAAGATTATTCATACATTATGGAAACAAAAGAAAGAACAAAGGAGCAGATACATCAAGGGGAAGAGGTTTGTAAAGAGTTAATGTAAATCTTTTTGGGATCAGCCAAATTCCTATAGTAATTACAGTAAATGATATTGTAAAACTATGCATCTGTATATTTATATAAAACTACTACTATTTTTATAGCACTCTGAAGTATATGCAATGTAGTGTTTATATTCCGGGTATTAATTAGCTGTTACTTTTTTATTTTGTAATAATGAGTACGTACATGTCTTACTTTCTCTATTAGATTATAAGCTGGAGAACAGGGCGGTATCTTACATACTTATCCTCTGATAATATGACTAATGGGTTCCACAATAAGGTATGGTAGTTTAAGTAGTTTAAAAAGTGCAGTATTTCTTCTGGGATAATAAGCACAAGCTTCAAACTGTTATTAAACATAGTATACATTTATAATTATATACCGTAATCTACAAATCATAGTAATTATAACTCTAGTAAAATGTTAACATTCCTTAAGCAACTGGTAGGTTGGTAGCAGCTGTGACATCCTTACTCACCAGGCTTGGCAGCTGTGCAGATTTGCTTGCACTTTAAATCACTGATGCCAGCCATGACTTATTTCAATTTGTTTTTAAATCTGTTATATTTTGTTCTTATACTTTCTTCTTCAGATTCCTGAAGATCCAACTTTCTGTGTGATAATCAGAGACCTCAAAATTTTAAGGCTTATGTTATAGCTGTTTATCCAGTGTATTAAGTCCCACCAATTTTATGTAATTCCATATATTGTTCTTTTGTTAGTTTTATATAACCTGTTGAATTTTCATCAACTTTGTAGCTTGTCCTTTTGAGGTAGGATTGTACTAATGATTAAAGTCAAATTCATTATATTATACTCACCTTTTTACTTCACATTTTTGAAGAATGCGTATTTTAAGTTAGGTCTATAGTTATGTGTTTCGTTAAATGAAAACTCAAAAATTAAGGATGAGTATATTTATTTTTATTTCCCACATTATCCTTTTAAACCTGGGTTATGTAGTGGTGTTTAAGGAGCTACTATAAACCACAAAAATACTAAAGCACACTTTCTTGGAATATCAGTGTTATTGTTGGGGAAGGGAAATACTTGTATACTCAAACAAACTGTACATACCATGTGTTACATTTATTATTTTCAATATAATAAATCAGGACTTGAAATAAATTTGTTTGTTTCAGACCACTTGGGATTAAACACTTATTTTCTCCATGGTATACAAAGTATGCCAATAACAATTAAAGATATTGTAATTATGAAGTATAAGGAGCACTTCCCTAAATTATGTAGGAGAATTCCTGATGCATAATATGCACTCAGTGAGAACTTTTCTCTTAATTGGTGAAATACCCTGTATTCTCAAAATAAACTCTTGGTTTGAATTATTAAATCTTTAAGAAATAGTATGTAAAGGCTAGAAGCTAGAATAATCATTCAGTCGATAAATATTAAGTTCTTACCATGTGCCTTATAGCATCGTGCTTTGGCCATGGTCATATAATGACAAATAAATAGGATTCTTGGGATCATAGACCTAGTTATTCGGCAGGAAACATAGATGGTAAATAATTTGAGTATGGTGACTACTAAAAAAGATGTAGACTAGGCAACAGCACTTAATAGGGTACTGGCAGTGACGGGGGCAGTCATGATAGGGGAGTTATTAAGGAAGTGATGCCTAAGAAGAAAACTGAAGGATGAGTAATACCAGGCAAAGGATGGTGAGGGTAAGGCAGGATGTTCTAAGAAATAGCGTGGTTAAAGCCTCAGGGGCAAGAAAGCATGTGTTCTTTTAAAAAAACTAGAAGAATTCCAGTTTGGCTAGAGTGTAAAACACAGGTGTGAGAGATGAGAGGCCAGGTTGTGGAGGACCTTATAAAATTTACGGGGCAATAGAAGACATGAAAATGGATGACTTCATTAATTGTGTATTTTCAGTAGATTACTCTGCTATACAAGAGAATAAACTGCTATAAGGAGAGAAGAGATGTGGAAAGATAGATAAAGAAGCCATTATCATTGTCCAGAGACATAATGATGGCTTAAGTTAAGGATATTGGCAGTAGTAGGAAAGAGAACTTTGAAATGATGTAGGCAAATGTTGTAGTGGACATGGAGAAGTAAAGTTAAGACAGAGTCATCAGAGGTGACTGAATGACCTCCAAATTAATTACTTTAGTAGTAGAGTAAGTTTATTGAAATAGGAAGTTTGGGAAGAAAAGCCAGTTTTTCTTTTTTTTCGTTTTTTTAAAGAAAGCTGAATTATATTTTGAACACATTAATTTTGAGGTTTTCAAATTAATTTCCACATTAACTTCCAAGTGGAAATATGAAGTGGGAAGTTGGATATGTAAATTAAGAATAGAGTCAGGTCTGGCCTCAATAAAAATATGGGAGTTGTCAGTGTGCTATTAGTATATAAGCCAAAAGAATAATTTAGATTGCTGAGATAGGGGAAAAGTGGGGCCAGGCCTGAACCATGAGAAATTCTCATGAAAGCCATGAGAAGCCAAGGGCAGAGAGATTTTGAGAAGGAACAAGTCATGACCGTGAGATGTACCTGTGGTCCGACACTACATGAATTGAAAAAACTCACTGTATTTAATGACATAATCTTCATAGATGACTATGGCAAGGTGGGTTTCAGTAGCAGTGAAAACAGTAGCCAGATTTGTGGAACTGGAAAATGTGAGGAGATGGAGGAGATAGAGACAATTTTCATGAAACTTGGATAGAAAGGGAAGAAGAATTTTAGAGGAGGAGGTGGTGCCAAGGGATGGGTATTGGTGGTTTTGTTTGTAAGTTGGAAAGATGAGCAAGTAGTGATGAACATGAGTCATAAAGAGGGTAAAGTGGAAACAAAGATGAAAAGATGTGATGGAAAAATCAGTGGATTTAGACTTTTGAGAAGATAGAAAAGGGGTACAATCCAAGATATAGGTAGAGGATGATATGGGTCTTAAATATGAGGCCACCTTTCTTTTGTTGCAAAAGGAAGGGATGACTGCTTTAGATTTGTAGTTAAGATTGTTGAGGGAGTTTCTGTCTGATGGCTTCTAAATTATCTGAAGCTGGAGAGGGGGAATGAATGAGGGAATGTGGTGGCAGGGTATATGAGGTTTGAAGAGAGTGATAATAGATTGAAAGAATTTTGTAGAATGGGAAAGTGCATTAGATAGGGAAACAAAGTAAGGTCTACAGTGTTCAGGCCCTAGTTGACTCTGGTAAGCATGAATGAAGGGGAGAGGCTGTCTACCCAGGTGTACAGAATATGAGATCTATAAGCTCCAGAAATTGTTTGAATATCACGGTATTTGATATTTGGTGATTTTTAATTAATTATTAAAAGTGAACTTAGTTCCTGGCCAACATGGTGAAACCCCGTCTCTACTAAAAATACAAAAACTAGCTGGGCGTGGTGGTGCTTGCCTGTAGTCCCAGCTACTTGGGAGGCTGAGGCTGGAGAATCGCTTGAACCTGGGAGGTGGAGGTTGGAGTGAGCCGAGATTGTGCCATTGCACTCCGGCCTGGTGACAGAGTGAGACTCTGTCTCAAAAAAAAAAAAGTGACCTTAGTTAAGAAAATTATAACTTGTTTGATTTTCAGAAATAAATTTCTCCTGATCCTTACATTCTCTTTGGAATGCCTACTGACTATACTTTGAAGAACAGACCATCATGTCTATCAGATAGGGAATAAAGAGGGAAAATGGGAAAGTGAGTTTTGGGATTTCTCTATATTTGCATAGTCCTGAACTTTTAATTCCTTTGCTCTTCATCTGAAGAGTATTTGGCCATTTTTATAGTGCAGAAATTCACAAAATTATTGGACTTATTAAAAGTATACCGAAGAATCAAGAATAAAAAAAAAAAAGTTATTTTTAAACAAATCTTTGTGTAGTAGTTGTTTAGGCATTGTTTTTAAAAGAAATAGATTTGCAAAAATGTGTTTTTTCAACATTTATAAAAAATATGTCCCTTCCGTTTTCTTTTTTTAAGCGGCTTACTGAACTAAAGCGCCAGTGTGTAGAGAAAGAGGAACGTTTTCAAAGCATTGCTGGTTTAAGTACAATGAAGACTAATTTAGAGTCCTTGAAACATGAAATGGCTTGGGCAGTGGTAATTATCACTTAATTACTTGTTCACATATATATGGGATCTGCAGAATATATTTGGTTATTACTGTTAATCTTATCAATTTGGTATATAATTTTTTTAGGTCAATGAAATTGAAAAACAGTTGAATGCTATCAGAGATAATATCAAAATTGGAGAAGATCGTGCTGCTAGACTTGACAGGAAAATGGAAGAACAGCAGGTAATTACAGTTTTTTAAATGCAGATTTAATAGGTTGAATCATATGAAATTGCTGATATTAGACTATTTATGACCCACTAAACTGGCAGTTTCAGACTGTATGTTTGTCTATATTTGAATTTATTGCTTAGGTGAAATAGACCTAAACTTGTTTTCAAGGCCTGTTGTGGTAACTGTCTTTTGAAAAGAATATTCTATCTATGATAAGCCTGTCTGAGGCTAGGGCTCTAGAACTCATGCATATTGTCAGTGGAACTTTGTTACTGACAAGACATATAAGAAGAGCCTGAAGCTTTTACTCTTTGGTTCATTAAGGAGTTTAAACACAAACAGACCTGAGAAATAAAGGGGTGCTAGAATAATATAAATTAGAATCACATTAAAGGTAGCTATCAGAAAGTATGAGAACTCAGAACTGAAAACAATGCCCAGAGATTGCCAAGGGAACTGAGATTTATGGTCCAGAACCAAGATGGCCTGTCAGAGGATTTCATATAGGTGGAAGGCAAGTGGGATTCATTGTTAGGTCTTTTAAGGTTAATTTCAGCCTGACATCTAAGTGCAGGTAGAAACTGCCCTATCTAAAATTCAAGAAAGTCACCAAAGTCTTCCACATGGGCCTAGAGGTTACAGAAGTTGAGTGTCAAATAAAGGCAGTCATTCTTTGTTGGGGCTTTCCATGTGGACCTTTTTACCATTCAGCAGATCCACTCTTTATACTCACTGTTTCTTTTTTGAACAGCTGTATTGAGATACCATTCATTTACCATATAATTCACCCATGTAAAGTGTGTAATTGACTGGGTTTTAGTATATTCACAAGGTTGAGCAGCCAGCACTGTGGGGTTTCTCATGCTGTAATGCCAGAAGCAGAACTCCTAGTTTTTTTTTTCTTTACTCCCCTTCCCCCGCAAATGTACTCAATATGTCAGTGTAGCTTACTTACCTCTTAGCATTTTCTCTATTTTGCTTAGGAAATTTATTTCTGGCCCCCAAGCTTGGCTGTGGTATAGAATGTAATCTTTCCTAGCTTGCTTTTTTCTGTCTGCCTCTAAGATGAGCAGATTGATCTTTTTTTCTTTTAAGGTTTATGACATTAATTCATCAGAGGTAATAGATGAGTATGTAAAAATAGGTAAAGATAGGACACTTAGTGATTTGTGGGCTAAGTTTCTTACTCCCTCTTCAGGCAGTAAGTGGAATTTCAACGCTTTCCACCTCTCACCTTAAATTTTCATTTCTGAGAGAATACTCTGAAATTTTCATCAAGTATGTTTCTCTTCTCACCCTCATTTCTCAGCTTATCATCAGGTAAGGCCTTAAATACTTTCCTCCTCAAGCATTTCGCAGTCTAAGATGGAATCCAGTCTGAGTAACAGCTGCTCACCTCTTTTTTAAATGGGAAAGGAGGATCATAAGGCTAGGTGATGTTTAGTTTAGTAGGCCTTTTTCTCTGTTTAAGCGTTTGCATACTGTATGTAGTAAATGGCAAATTTCTGGAGGGTAAGGACTATCTTATTTTATCTTTATATCCTTTCCGTCTTGTCTTACATAAAGCCTTTCACATTGTGTGTGCTTGATTATTGCCTGTAGAATGACTATTAAATGGAAGATTTCTGAAGAAACAGTGTCTAAAGCAGACTTTAAACTTTTGTTAATTTAAAACTGAAAAATAATATGAATTATGTTTAGTTTGTATAAAACCTGGATCCAGCTTTCATTTTTATTAAAAAGCAATTCCTCTACTCATTGTCCTTGGGTGCTTTCATGTTTTAATGGCAGAGTTGAATTGTTTTAGGAGAGACCATGTGGCCCACAAAGCCTGAAGTGTACACTATCTAGCCTCTTATAGAAAGATTTGCTGACCCCGATCGAAATAGTGCTCATATATGTTCCTTCTCATCAGTCCCTATTGTTAGCATCCCATTTTGGTCCCTAATTGTCTTTGATCCATAACATTATATTAACTACTTACTGAAATCTTTTCCTTTGATTTTTCTGTCTACCCTGTGTTCCAAGTGCTTCCAGAGTAATCTAACACGCAGATTTAGGAGATAAGAGACAGACTTAGGCTGTCTTCCTGTTTTCTAGAAGATTAAGTTGTAAGCTGTTCATTGTAGAATGCAAGGCCCTTCTACCCCTTCATCTCATCTCCTACCATTATCCTATGAATTTAAGCTCTAGCAATATTTAATTTCTAAAATATGAATACCTTTGTACATGCTCTTTCCTCTGCCTCTAACACCCTTCCTCAACTTATTTCCTGGTACACTTAGATTAATTTTTAAAATCTCAGCTCAAAATACTACTTCCTCTTTGAAGGCATTCCTGACTTTTTCTGGCCAACCTCTGGTTTGTCTCTCTGTGCTCCCACAATTAAGAATAAATGTACCCTACTTTAGCATTATTGTATACAGACCGTATCATCAGTTTGTGTTCTGTTTTTCTGCTAAATTATCTCTCTCTCTCTTATGTTATCTGAGGACATTTGTTATCACGTCTTTGTATCCCTAGAGGATAGCACATTTGTTGCATAACTAACTGTGGGTTAAGATCAAATTATATTATAGTATTTTATATAATGTTATGTTACTGTGTTTATTTGCCTAAAGTCTTGAGTGAAGTTAAATTTGTTATTGGTATATGAACTATAGATAATTATTTTTAAAAATTCTCTCTGTTGAAAAAATATACTTTAATAATGTTATTTTCTTAAAGGTCAGACTTAATGAAGCAGAACAAAAGTACAAGGATATTCAAGACAAACTAGAAAAGATTAGTGAAGAGACAAATGCACGAGCACCAGAATGTATGGCATTGAAAGCAGATGTCGTTGCTAAGAAAAGGGCCTATAATGAAGCTGAGGTGAGAGAAATTTTCTAAACTGAAATATTAAAAGCCACACAGCAAATATAAAGATTGTTCTTCTATCTTTTTAAATTATATTTTGTTGTTTTGAAACAGTCTTGCTCTGTCACGCAGGCTGGAGTGCTGTGGCGCCATCACAGCTCACTGCAGCTTCTACCTCCTAGGCACACGCTATCCTCCCACCTCGGCCTCCTGAGTAGCTGGGTCTACAGACATCTGTCACCATGGCTGGCTAAATTTTTTTGTATTTCTTGTAGAGACAGGATTTTGCCACATTGTCCAGGCTGGTCTTGAACTCCTGACCTTAAGTGATCTACCTGCCTCAGCCTCCCAAAGTGCTGGGATTACAGGTGTGAGCCTCTGCACCCAGCCTCTTCTATTTTTTTATTATTATTTTTTTGAGACGGAGTCTCACCCTGTCGCCCAGGCTGGAGTGCAGTGGCACAGTCTTGACTCACTGCAACCTCCGCCTCCCGGGTTTAAGCGATTCTCCTGCCTTAGCCTCCTGAGTAGCTGGGACTATAGGGGCGTGCCACCACACCTGGCTAATTTTTTGTATTTTTAGTAGAGATGGGATTTCACCGTGTTAGCCAGGATGGTCTCGATCTCTTGACCTCGTGATCCACCCACCTTGGCCTCCCAAAGTGCTGGGATTACAGGCGTGAGCCACAGCACCCAGCCTCTTCTATTTTTTTATTATTATTTTTTTGAGACGGAGTCTCACCCTGTCGCCCAGGCTGGAGTGCAGTGGCACAGTCTTGACTCACTGCAACCTCCGCCTCCCGGGTTTAAGCGATTCTCCTGCCTTAGCCTCCTGAGTAGCTGGGACTATAGGGGCGTGCCACCACACCTGGCTAATTTTTTGTATTTTTAGTAGAGATGGGATTTCACCGTGTTAGCCAGGATGGTCTCGATCTCTTGACCTCGTGATCCACCTCTGAAGAAACAGTGTCTAAAGCAGACTTTAAACTTTTGTTAATTTAAAACTGAAAAATAATATGAATTATGTTTAGTTTGTATAAAACCTGGATCCAGCTTTCATTTTTATTAAAAAGCAATTCCTCTACTCATTGTCCTTGGGTGCTTTCATGTTTTAATGGCAGAGTTGAATTGTTTTAGGAGAGACCATGTGGCCCACAAAGCCTGAAGTGTACACTATCTAGCCTCTTATAGAAAGATTTGCTGACCCCGATCGAAATAGTGCTCATATATGTTCTTTCTCATCAGTCCCTATTGTTAGCATCCCATTTTGGTCCCTAATTGTCTTTGATCCATAACATTATATTAACTACTTACTGAAATCTTTTCCTTTGATTTTTCTGTCTACCCTGTGTTCCAAGTGCTTCCAGAGTAATCTAACACGCAGATTTAGGAGATAAGAGACAGACTTAGGCTGTCTTCCTGTTTTCTAGAAGATTAAGTTGTAAGCTGTTCATTGTAGAATGCAAGGCCCTTCTACCCCTTCATCTCATCTCCTACCATTATCCTATGAATTTAAGCTCTAGCAATATTTAATTTCTAAAATATGAATACCTTTGTACATGCTCTTTCCTCTGCCTCTAACACCCTTCCTCAACTTATTTCCTGGTACACTTAGATTAATTTTTAAAATCTCAGCTCAAAATACTACTTCCTCTTTGAAGGCATTCCTGACTTTTTCTGGCCAACCTCTGGTTTGTCTCTCTGTGCTCCCACAATTAAGAATAAATGTACCCTACTTTAGCATTATTGTATACAGACCGTATCATCAGTTTGTGTTCTGTTTTTCTGCTAAATTATCTCTCTCTCTCTTATGTTATCTGAGGACATTTGTTATCACGTCTTTGTATCCCTAGAGGATAGCACATTTGTTGCATAACTAACTGTGGGTTAAGATCAAATTATATTATAGTATTTTATATAATGTTATGTTACTGTGTTTATTTGCCTAAAGTCTTGAGTGAAGTTAAATTTGTTATTGGTATATGAACTATAGATAATTATTTTTAAAAATTCTCTCTGTTGAAAAAATATACTTTAATAATGTTATTTTCTTAAAGGTCAGACTTAATGAAGCAGAACAAAAGTACAAGGATATTCAAGACAAACTAGAAAAGATTAGTGAAGAGACAAATGCACGAGCACCAGAATGTATGGCATTGAAAGCAGATGTCGTTGCTAAGAAAAGGGCCTATAATGAAGCTGAGGTGAGAGAAATTTTCTAAACTGAAATATTAAAAGCCACACAGCAAATATAAAGATTGTTCTTCTATCTTTTTAAATTATATTTTGTTGTTTTGAAACAGTCTTGCTCTGTCACGCAGGCTGGAGTGCTGTGGCGCCATCACAGCTCACTGCAGCTTCTACCTCCTAGGCACACGCTATCCTCCCACCTCGGCCTCCTGAGTAGCTGGGTCTACAGACATCTGTCACCATGGCTGGCTAAATTTTTTTGTATTTCTTGTAGAGACAGGATTTTGCCACATTGTCCAGGCTGGTCTTGAACTCCTGACCTTAAGTGATCTACCTGCCTCAGCCTCCCAAAGTGCTGGGATTACAGGTGTGAGCCTCTGCACCCAGCCTCTTCTATTTTTTTATTATTATTTTTTTGAGACGGAGTCTCACCCTGTCGCCCAGGCTGGAGTGCAGTGGCACAGTCTTGACTCACTGCAACCTCCGCCTCCCGGGTTTAAGCGATTCTCCTGCCTTAGCCTCCTGAGTAGCTGGGACTATAGGGGCGTGCCACCACACCTGGCTAATTTTTTGTATTTTTAGTAGAGATGGGATTTCACCGTGTTAGCCAGGATGGTCTCGATCTCTTGACCTCGTGATCCACCCACCTTGGCCTCCCAAAGTGCTGGGATTACAGGCGTGAGCCACAGCACCCAGCCTTCTAATTTTTAAAGTAGAGATTTTGTACCTGAGTTGAAATTAGGGATGCTTTGAGATTTTAAAAAATGTAATGGTTTCAAATGATGATTTTGTGCTTCATTTAAAAAATATATTCCTGTACACGTTCAGTCTCTGAGGATTTGACAAAAGTGGACTCCAATGGGATATTTGTTTTCATTTTAGCAAAGCGTGTCTAATTTTTTTTGTTAGGTTTTATATAACCGATCCTTAAATGAATATAAAGCATTAAAGAAAGATGATGAGCAGCTTTGTAAACGAATTGAAGAACTGAAAAAAAGGTAGGATAGTTACTTTGAAATTTTCGTGACTCTTATTTTGTAATAAAGTAAGGTAGATGCATTGGAATATTGTATTTTATGTATTGTTGTTAATGAAATTTTATTACATTGGCTTGTGTTCTTTAAATGTTAAACTGTTCATTTAACATTTTTCACTTTGGGTTATTTACTGTTAGTACTGACCAATCTTTGGAACCTGAACGGTTGGAAAGACAAAAAAAAATATCTTGGTTAAAAGAGAGAGTAAAGGCCTTACGAAATCAAGAAAATTCAGTCAATCAAGAGATCGAACAGTTTCAGCAAGCCATAGAAAAGGACAAAGAAGAATATGGCAAAATTAAGTAAGTTGCAACATCCTTAGAATGATTTTTTTCAATTACTTTCACATCATATAGTTTTGTTCTTATATGAAGAGAGCAAATATGGTTGTTTCTTCTACATAATAAGGGATCTTTTAAAAAAGATTTTATTTTTATGTTAAATACCTTGCAGAGCAGGGCTAACTCATAGCCAGTGCACCTATAGCCAGCTGGATCTTTTAAAATCACTTTTCAAGACTTATAGTTGTAGAGTTGAACAATTTCTGGGATTCCTAGCCCATCATCGTTGCATTACTTTTTTTATGCCAAGTTTTGAGGACTCCAGACTGTTTTTCTCTGGTAACACAATTATTTTCAAATAAATAATTCTGCTTTTGGTTTTTAGGGTAGCTAGGTGGGTCATTCACTGGGATGTAGGTGTTCTGGGCAAAGGTTAAAAAATGTTTCTGTAAAACTATCACATATCTGTCCTGTTCTGCTTTTGTTTTTTAGGAGAGAAGAATCAGATGTGAAGCATGCACTGAGCTACAATCAGAGGCAACTGAAAGAATTGAAAGATAGTAAAACTGATCGACTCAAAAGATTTGGCCCTAATGTTCCAGCTCTTCTTGAAGCCATAGATGATGCTTATAGACAAGGACTTTTTACCTATAAACCTGTAGGCCCTTTAGGTATTTGTCTTAATTTAGTGAGGTTATAATAAACTTTAGAAATAAGTTTTTATTTTCAGAATGATTGAATGAAGTTTTCAAAATAAAGTGATTTCATTAAAAAAGATAAAATGATGAAATTATGTTAAGCTCTGTAGCTTTCGTTTTATATTTTTAGAGCGTAAAATATCCAGAAGGAAGAGAACTTTGGAAAAGGAAAAGTAATTACAGAGTTGAATAATTTGGTTCTTGTTTTTCTGAATAAACAAGTGAATGAACTAATATAATTGATTATTCAGAAAAAAAAATAACATCAAGATGAAGGAGCAGTTACCTGAGTTTTGGTAACCTTTTTAAAATGACTTTTCTTTCTTAGTTTCTGTTTTGGTTGGACAGCATGATTTCTAAGTTCTCTTCCAACTGTAAAATCTGTGGTTACTTTACTCTTACATATACATGGTACGTAAAAAAATTTTTTAAGTCACGTTTTCTTGGAGGGTTATCTTTAATTCGGAAAATCATTAGGTGAAAATGCTTATAAATATAGTTTGTTAGTAAAGTATTGCATTTAAATATTGTAGTAATGTCTCTTTTAAATGATATGTACCTTTATACCAGGATCCATTTCAATGGACGAGGCTTTTTTTTTCCATCCCATTAAGGAATTTGAAAATCCCTTGATTTTCAGAACCCCATTGAAAGACTAGAATAGTATAAACTGAATATAGAAAAGCCACCGTTGGTTTACATTAGCGTGGGACAATTTTTTTCACAGGATTTGGTGGATTTTCTCTCCATTGTATCCTGTGGGTATAGGGGATTTCCCATTCAGTTAAAATATTATTTAAACTGCTTTATATAAAAGTATGTTAAGTCATTTATAAACTATGATTAGATGATCTGTAATGTCATTTAAACTGCTTTATATAAAAATATGTCATTTATAAACTATAAAGAGGAGTGATGTTAATATTTCAAAATAAGTATTTATGAGCTCGTCTATAATTTTCTCTCACTTTTAGGAGCTTGCATTCATCTTCGGGACCCGGAACTTGCTTTGGCTATTGAATCTTGCTTAAAAGGGCTTCTGCAGGCCTATTGTTGCCATAATCATGCTGATGAACGTGTCCTTCAGGCACTCATGAAAAGGTTTTATTTACCAGGGACCTCACGGCCACAGATAATAGTTTCTGAGTTTCGGAATGAGATATATGATGTAAGACACAGGTAAGGCATTAGTAATTGAATATGTTTCTGGCTTTGCTTAATCATATGCAGGACTGGAAAGAGTTAAAACACTTTTAATGTTAATCATATCTTTACCCCTGATTTGTAAAATTTCATCAAGCCACTTTAATTTCTGTCTAGGTATTAGTTCTAGGCGTTAGAGAAACATAGATAAATATTCCCTACCATTGAAGTTCTTATATGTGGGAGACATTACAGGGAAACAGATGTAGTATGACTTAGAAATTATACCCGTGAGGAAAATGATATGACCAAATTAAGAGGGAGGGCCTAAGGAAGAACATTGGCACTCGTTACACACAGTTACATTCTGAAGGTGTTTCACAGAATCCATAGACAGTAATTGTGTTCTTTGATGACCTTAACAAGTCTTTTCAAGGGAGCTCAATACCCAAACTGGCCTCTTTGCTAACTGCTGGCTAACACTTTAAAAATGAATGTAGGCCAGGCACGGGTTCATGCCTGTAATCCCAGCACTTTGATAGGCCAAGATGGGCAGATTGCTTTAGCTCGGAAGTTCAAGACGAGCCTGGGCAACTTGGGGAGACCTGTCTACCAAAAATACAAAAAAAAAAAAGCCAGGCTTGGTGGTGTGTGCCTGTGGTCCTAGCTACTTGGAAGGCTGAGGTGGGAGGATCACTTGAGCCTAGGAGGTGGAGGTTGTAGTGATACAGTGAGCCAGGGTCATGCCATTGCACTCCAGCTTGGGTGAAGAATGAGACCCTGTCTCAAAAAAAAAAAAAAAAGAATATATTCCCAGATTACATTTTAAAATTTCTTTTCTCTCCCATCTCCACTTTTAAAAATAAACCTTCTTTTTAATTAAGTCTAATGCTGTATATCTCGTATTTGGTAAATTTGTGTGTATAATTAACTCATGTTAATAGGTAGACAAGGAAGAATTCAGAGAGGAGATGAGAAATCATCGGTCGTTTAACTGATGAGTTTGTCAAGTGATAGAAAAAGTTAATTGCCTTGTAGGCAAATAGAATTCTATGTGTAAAACGTGTGGAAGCATGACATTGGGAGTTATTCTGCAAAAAATAGCATTTGCATTTTTGATAGGAAGAAACAGATTAGCAGAGAGATTAGGACAAAATAAAGTTTGTTAATTGAATGCAAGAGAAGGAAAAATCAGGATGACTTCTAGGTTTCTGGCTGGAGTGACTAGCTGAAGGATGCCATCAATTGTGAGGAATGTCCTCGAATCTGAACTGTCATTTTGGGACCAAAGAGAATAGTCCTGGCCATTCTGGCGGGGCCTGCTCTGTGAATTGCCACGAGGACTCTGAAGAAGAGTGCCTGGTGCTGCCTTGCTGGCACATTGTGTGTCCCAGCCTGTGCTTCTAGTCACTTAGCCGTGAAACACGTGACAAGGGATCCAATGTGTGTGTCGTAATGCCAGTTTTCTTGGAAGTAGGTGAGTTTATGTGCTGAGAACAAGGGCCTCAGGAGTTGGTAGGAGGTACCTTCTTTAAGGGTTTAGATTGGCTGCCAAGGAGAATGAGAGAGGAAGCTGACTCAAAGTCTGTTAAGATACAAAAGCCTAGTGGCCACAGGATTTTTCACTGATAACGTTTCTTTAGAGATGAGTGGAGGGAGAGTCTGTACTGTTAGGTAAATATTAGAATGTTTTAGAGTGGAGAGGTATTACAGAAAGGGAAAAGGGAAGCAGTTGAGTGTATTGTTGACAAATTAAAGAAAGAGAGGACTGGGAGAAAGTGTTTAGACCCACCTTAATAAAGTTAGAGAACATGCTTAAAGGCATAAGTCTGGAACGAGAGGAGGTTGTGGTTAAGAGTGAAAAATTCAAGCTGAATGGAACAGGTCTAGGGGATGACAAAGTCCGTGTTTTGGCTTCAGGAGCAGGTAGCTGAAACGCAAGTTGTTGGAATAGGGGAAGGAACTAGATTGTAATCCTTTTGGGTGTTGATAGGATATTGACAAGAGTCTTGAGTACGTCTAACATTCTGTTAACTACCTGCCTTGTAAACATTTTGAAGGGGTGAATTTTTTGTGTGTTTGAAGAACTTTTTCGGTATGAATTATGGTTCAAATGCTAAATTTAAAAACTGGCTATATTATTTTAATGTGAAAAATAGTAAAATATTATTAGAGTTTATAATGCATCAGATACATAGGACTCATTTCAGTCATTTAGGCTTATGCTATATAACCTTAACAGAGGTACCTAGGAAGGTGCCTAGCTCACCTTTCCTATAAAGATGGTCTTATTTCTTCTTCTCAGAGGACATAGAAGCTACTAAACTACTCCTCCTGCTATTATGCCTGCATTTGTACATCTTGCCCCTATCTCAAGAGAGATTCTTTCTGCCTGAGGCTAGTCTACTTGTGCCTTGAATCACATACTTTCTTGCCTGACTCATTAACCATTTAAAAAAATTATTTCAGCCCTCCTGAGCCTTAAACTTTCCCATTAAATTTTCTGTTTTAAACATGGTAGGTCTCTGATTTGTGTTTCTCCTTTTAAAAACACACCCCTCCTAGGGGAGACTGCATTCACTCATAGACTTACCACTCTAGGTCCCTAAATGTTAATTATATTCTCCAATTATTTCCTTGTTGCGGAATCCAGTTGATATTTACCTTCTCTCAAGCATTAGATGCTATCAAATACACCTTCCTTCAAACTTCTTATTCCTTTTGTTACTATGACACCATTTTCTTGGTTCTCATACTCTTTAGGTATTTCTCAGCCTATATGTGGGCTTTTCTTCATCTCCTTCTGGTGCTCCCTACAGCTCTCTTCATAGTCTGTTATATCTTCTCACTTTATATCTTCTTATATTTGGAAAATTAAAAATACACCAAATTTTGACCAGTCACAGTGGCTCACACCTATAATCCCAGCACTTCAGGAGGCTGAATCGGGTGGATCATTTGAGCTCAGGCGTTTAAGACCAGCCTGAGTAATGTGGTGAAACACCGTCTCTACCCAAAATACAAAAATAAACTGAGCATGGTGCTGTGTGCCTGTGGTCCCAGCTACTCAGGAGCCTTAGGTGGGAGGATCACTGGAGCCCTGGAAGTCAAGGCTGCAGTGGGCTGTGATCGTGCCACTGCCCTCTAGGCGACAGAGGGAGATCCTGTCTCAAAAAAAATAAAATAAAAATACACCAAATTTTAATCATGTTTTTTTCCTATATTTTAACTTAGTGATGTTTTCCTTTTACTTGACTTTAGAAATCACATCTTTTTATCAAATGATTTAAATATAATTAGGATGGAAAAATCATTTTGTCCTGTAACTCCGCTTACCAGTGAGGCCTATTATACTTGCCTGGATTTTCTGTGCACGTTTTCCTTTGTCAGTATGTTTTGTTTAGACTTTCTGCTTAACATTGTTTGTGAACCTATGTCCTATTTTCTTCTTCTTGTCCCTTCTCACCAACATCTCATTGCTAATGTTCCTTTCTACTTTTTGCTCTGCTAGACTGATTTTGTATCCTCCCTCAACATACTATTAATTGTAACATAAGCCAGTATGAAGTAAATCCCAGGGACGAATAGCCAAAGGAAGAGATAGTCGTGACTTGGTGCTTTAGAGCAAACTGGTAGTAACAACTTCATGTAATGATGGCCTGTGGCTGCCCAAAAATGGTGACTCCTTCCTAGTTTCAAAACCTGTGCTCTCCACAGGCTGG